TCGTTTGCGTCCCAATCATTCGTCGGCTAGAGAATGACAAACATAGGTGTGCTGCGTAAAATGTTCTACGTATGCTCCTTGAAAGTCTTTGGAATAGAATCTCACTAGATAAGTCCCCATTAAATTGTAACTTAATAAATAGAGGTTTCTTATGTGCAGTCAGAGTCACAGGTTTCTTCTCTGATGGTTTCATATGTTTCTTTATGAAACTACTCGGATAACCCATCTCCGTCAAGGAATCGTGAATATATTCAAATTCCTTTTGTAAGAGGTCCTCCGTACATATCTTCCTTGCTCTGCTCGCGAGACATTTTACAAGATTCCTTTTATATTTAATGGGCACGTAACTAAGGAAGTGTGTGTACTGCCCTGTGAATGTGCTTTTTCTGTACACACTTCTCCCAAGTGACCCATCTTCTCTCCTACTTAGCAAGACATCCAGGAAATGTAGTTTATTCTCCTGCTCCTCTTCACAAGTAAAGGTAAGCGAAGGGTGGATGTTGTTGAATTTAATTAACAATTCGTCTGTGTTAACCTTCTCATCAGCTAAGATAAATGTATCATCGACATATCGGTAATACATATCCAACTCCTTGATGGTATCCTTCAATTTCCCGTTTTCAAGTTTTGCGAGAAAGAAGTCAGCTAATATTGGGCCTAATGGTGAACCCATAGCTATTCCATCTACTTGTCGATAGTATGAATTATTGAAGACGAAGTGAACATTCATTGTGCATTTAAGAAGTAATTCTTTGAGGCTACACAAGGGGATTCCTAAGTCTAATTGCCTATCGGTGATTTCTTGACAAATATAATCCACTGTTTCCAAAAGCGGTACGTTAGTGAATAGTGATGATACATCCATGGATAACATGCGTTTACACCTCACATTAGTCTCGGATATTTTAGAAATAAAGTCGAAAACATCACTAATTCTATGTTGCACAATTTCTCTGTGCAAAGGACCCAGGATCTTAACTAACCACTTCGCTGTTCCGTGAAATGGAGAGTTATACATATCTAAAACAGGGCGAAGAGGAAGACCCGGTTTGTGAACTTTTGGTGTTTTTTTTATTATTCGCGTTATCACAGATTGCCTCATTTTTTCATCCTTATTATTGATAAGACCATTATTATTACTATTATTATTATTATTAATATTATCATTACCACTATTATGACTAACTGCACAATTTATAATCACCATCGTATTATCCTATAGACAAAACACCATGATTGGTTTATATTTGAATTTTTATTTGTAAACTTATATATATTAGAGTTAAGCCTGATGAGATCTAATTGAAAACAATATTGTTCGCTTAAATGTGTTGTTCTAAATTTTACTGTGGGAACATTTAACAATATTTTTCGCTTATGTCTTCTTCGAACATTAAATAATTCTCAAATTAGTGTTGTTTGTCTAACACTTCCATCACTACTTCTCCTTGGAACTTAATACAGTTTGGACATATGTAAATCTATTGAAATTTCAAAACAGTCTTAAAGTCACTGGATCATTTTTATTGAGAAACATTAGTCTGCCGTTTATTTACACTTTGAATGAGTTATTACACTTTATTGTTTATACAAAACACGAACATTTGAAATACCTAAGAATGCTGTCATCTAGAGACAGAAAAAATTATATTAGAGACTAGAATTGTTAGTCTCCTACCTCATGTTCGATATGAAAAGATGATAATTCGTCAAAACAATAAACGTTATTTTTAAAGTTAGTTACATTTACAATCATTTTTTTTCTTCACTAAATGGTAGATTCAACAAATGAAAATTGAAAACACAAAAAGTTTGCCAAAAACCTTTACATAATTTAGTCTTATCTTTAAAGTTAATCGATTGAGTTATGCACGCAAAGCGTTTTTATTTCCTAAGTTTTTCAAAAGATGGAGAAAACTACACTAAAAAAACATACTTTCGATATATTGTCTTTCGATTGCTGGCTTAAAACTTCATAAAGGACATTCAGACTTTTGCAGACATTTTTTTCATGTTTGGCGAATTCTTATCCAGGGGTAGACTACACTTATTCTCATGATAAATGACTAATTCTTATCATTTTTGTTTGGTTAAACCATAATCCACGACTTGTTCCATACCATATACAGTTGACATTGTTTTATGAATCCAATGTATGATATGGCGTAAAGTAACGCTAAGGTACGATTTTCAGCCAAGAAACTAAATAGCATGTGTTAAAATACATTTCATCTGCTTAAATTAAAACGCTTACTTATTATGATAAAATAATATTCGTCCAACTTCTGATATTTTATCAATCTGTCAAAACCATTCGCTTATGCTTTTACAGTCTCTTAATTTATTTCCACATATTTCATTTAGTGAAATTATCCACTCTTTATCCGTCTGTTAGATTCTGCCAAATGGAAAAGCGTACTTTAATTATTGAAAATATTTATTTTTAATTGTTATTCTTATTCTTAAACATTCGCTGCTTTGGAGGTGAAACGGAGGGATAAAGCGGCGTCTCCTCATTTCAGTCGATTCTCCCTCGTCGCTTTCTACTGGCTATACTTCGGCGCAATCGCTTTAATTTATTCTTTATAAGAAAAGGACGTAGACAGCACAGAAAAGTTTCCTTTCGACGATCCATTTCATAAGCTGTACAATCGTAATTGTATTTAATAAATAATTCATAGTTCTTCTTTACATGACCTCCCCTATATCACCCTAACACTTCCGACTCACCGCTTCTTAGTCGTGTTGCACTTTAAAATCACATGTCACCTGAATGTCTCCCAAGTGTACATCTGGTAAATCTCTGATCCCTTCTGAATGTTCGTTAAGCAACAGATTCGCACTACCGGAGTTTCTTAGTGATTATGCTTTCCGATCGGCAATCTTATCTTCAGTAAAAAGCAAAAATAGCTGTCGATGGGTGCCTGCAACAGGCTGCTGGAAGTGTGTGTGGTGAATCATCTAGTTTCTAAGCTTTATAAAAGCACCGAACAACTTGATATCACTATTAAAAGTGGGATCTTGTTCCATATATCAAGCTCAATTTCAAATTCAGAGTAGTAAATTCGTGTCTCGTTTTCACAATCCTGGATTTTCAGTGATCGAGAAAATATTTTTACATATTATTAAACACATATAACATAGATTGAAACCACCTAGCACAAATGGAGACATAAAATTAGAATATGAGTATATCTGCGTTTAAATATCTACTTCAAACAAGGTTGTTAGAAACCTGCAGCCTTAAAGCAAAATTCAAAGCCTCATTTTATTTTCAGTCTTTCAACACTAAACTCGATAACGCATTGGTTTGCTAGGCTTGAGCCTCTCATTGAAAATGGTAGAATTTGATGAAATATTTTAAAACAGAAACAAATAATCAGTTAAATAAATCAAGGAGTAACTAATCTGAATAGTAGAAATCTATGTATAACTTTTCAAATACCTTTAAAGTCAGTCACAATAATTTTACTTCGAAACTATTCCAAACAACAGTGACAGTCATTTTCAAGTGCTTATATGATCTACATTCCTATTAAAACGCTTTTCATCTTTTGTTTGTTTAATAGTTACAAGATTTAAGTTAAGTTGATTTTCATACATTTAGACAAATACAACGAAGTATCTGTTTGATAATTGGCTTGTAGGGATTCTGTTTGTTTCGTCTAAGATCACGGTTTGATATTGCAGCGGTAAGTAATTCCCTAGAATTATTGGCCACAGCATTTATCACTAAACAGTGCATGCTGACCCTCACTGTTTAAGTCAACTTGTTTATCTGAAGGCTTCCAGTCAAGCATCCATGCCATTCGGTACACCGTCGTGTCACGTTCGATCCCTACTTAGTTAAGCAGTCATCTCGCACTCCAATTTGGTCTCGAAATATGACTCGTAATTTGGACGGTCAATTCTGGTGTTTGCTTTGCCTTTGATCCAGGCGGAACGGATACTAAAGAAGTTTTGGATATTAGATCATGTGTTAGTATACTTCGTACTATCCGTGAACGTCAATACCACCAGCCTCTAAAATATAAATTACAGATACGCTGAGAACCAAGGAATATTGGACAACTGTTACATCCCAGTTTATAACTCATCGGAAATATGCAGACGCTGCATTTTGAACCGAGTATCTCCCCGTTACAAAGCAAGCTCGTGGGCTACTCAGCCACTGGGACCCGATTCAGTGACCCATGAATTCTAACTTCTATCAATTCGTGATTTTAGCGCAACTACCAACCAACGTCTTTAGCAAGAACTTCATTCTCACTCCCTACTTGAGAGACCCCACGAATTGGTTGAATTTAGGATTCATGGGCCATTGAATCAAGTCCCAGTAGCTGAATAGTATATGACCTTGCCTTGTAAATCAAAGCTTCTGGGTTCAAACTGAAATGGGCACGTACTGCCTATGAGTCGCAAACCAGAACGAAATAGTTGTCCAGTCCCTCCTGGCTCTCAATGGTTCTCTAACTGATATCAATCCATAGTCTAATTTGAATATATATATATATATATATATATATATATATATATATATATATATATATATATATATATATATATATATATATATATATATATATATATTTCTAGGGATCACTGATACAGATATTTCAGCTTACAACCGCAAATCGGAGTCCTTTGGTTAACTTCTTCCTTTATGCAAATTATTATCAGGTGATATTCATTGGGACATAAACTTTGCATTGTTCAAAAGTGAAATTCGATATGATAACGGATACCAACCTTAATTTTCGTAAATTCATATTCATAAAATTACATACTTACTTTCAAATTGACCTTGAAAAGATGGTTCGCATAGGGGAGCAGGTGGTCTTAGAGGTGAGCAAAGTAACTTGCTCAAATGTTAATATATATATATATATATATATGTATATATATATAAATTTTAATCACACAATGACTTCAGTGTGAGAACCATTGAATCCCAGGTAGTACTGGGCTTCTTTTTCTCCTTGTTTTTTACTTTTCAGGAGTATTCTCCCAAGACCTCATTAAGGACCAGAACCAGAACCATGAGTTTACGAAGTAATCTAGTATACCGTTTGGTCACTAGGAAGGGACCCAATGGCATAAGAATTCTAACTTCCATTTATTCGCGATTTACATGCTGATCGCCAACCAATGACATCGGTCAACATCTGTCCGCATACCTAACTTCGTAAACCCTACTATACACTAATTCCCACTAGAATTGAAAGTAACTTCATCCTGTAAAGCCCATTTATGTGTACACATCTGCTGTCGAAGCTAATATACGGAGGACAGGTGATTTCATTTTTACAGTTTATAGATAACAAATAAGTAATACCCAGGTGAAAACTGTAAAAATACGAATCCTGCACTCCTTCAATAAATATCTGTCTTGAACATACATCAGAAATTCTTGTCATACTATAATTAAACTACTGGGTAATGATTCAAGAAGTGAAAATCTGGATGACTCTCTCTAAATCAATTTCATCAATCTAAAAAATATATATGAAAACGAAATTAATGCACATATCAACCAATAAGTATGACTATCTTCAACGTTAAAAAAAATGAATAACACTACGTAACTAACATTCACTGACACTTAAAGATAGCATCAAAATGATTTGATTATTCAGTTATATTTATTACTTGTGCATTTATCACAATCATACTCAAGTATTCAGTGTTTATTATAGTGATAAAAATCTAAGCTGACTAACGCTTTTTCTTTCTTTTGATCGATAAATACACAAGTGAAATATTTGTGTGTTCATTTTGTCTGTAATATATAAAACAATTTGGAAGAAAGCATATATAGAGTGTTAAACAACTGTTCAATAGTATTATATATCCACTGCTTTTCTTTTCTTTTTGAAAGAAAGCATACACTCCCTTTCCACCTTCACATATATGACATTTATGTCAAATCATGATTATTTTGTAAACAGATTATGTTTGTTTGTTTTCTTTCTGAAGGAGAGAGAGAGAGAGCGAGATATTTCAACATAACAGATTTGTGTTTTGATTTTTTCTTTGTCCCCATGGTTCATTCATTTGTTCATTATTCTTTAGACTGTAATATATATATATATATATATATATATATATAGCTGATGTGTGGAAAATAAGGAGTCATTTTGTTTATTTAGTTTTCTGTCAGTCATTTCCAACAAATTCTATTCCCTAAATGTACGCATAAATATATGACTTAAGCATGTGAATTCATAGTTTTCTGTATTGAACTAGCTTATACTTTGAAGTATTCAAAACAGTAAGTTATACGTTGGACCAAAAAAACAAACAAAACAAACAAAACAAACATTAACCGCTTGTTAGATTCATTCATAACTTAACGAACGATTAAGCAAATATTATTGACTGAATCTCATAATTGGCGTAAACACTTTTCACACTTTGAGTAATGTAATGTTATATATTCCTTTAGGGAATAACGGTGAATCTGTTGTTATCGATGTTGCCAACTCACTGTAGAATAAGATAAAAACACAGAATGAGTATTCTTTATCTGGAGGAAATCACAATCAATAAAAGATTTTAGAAAAATATGCTGCGCTTTTGGCGAATTCGTAAGTAGTCATTGAGTTATTAAGGCATCCAAGAATAGGAAATTGTATTTTCCAATCAATCTGTATATAGACAAACTAGGAATTTCCGTGTCAGTAAACTTTGCACATCAAATTAATAGGCAATGCATAACAAGATTATATTACAATTAATATCTTTTTAGGTTCCCAGAGGAATATAAGACTTCTGCAACAGATCACTATTTCATCCTGTCATTTACAGCTGGCTCCACAATTTTCTGAAGGCTTTCTTTTCTCCTAACGCCATCTCCTCAGCGTATGCATCTCCATCTCTTTTTCTCTCTGCAGATTAGTTTCTTGATAAGTTATTGGCTGATTTACCGGCGGTTACAACTCCTTATTGCTTCCCCATCACTAACGGCCTTTCATCTGTTGGAAACTTTTAATGAGTGTCTAAGCCTGTTGGGAACGCTTTTCGATATTCACCGAATCTCTAAAGTGTCTTAAAACTAGCTATGTATTCTACTTTAATATACATTTTGATAGATTCTTAACTTAATGAGAATAAAAGTTGCATTCATTTCATTTTGAAAAGTTTTCACATTCATTAAAAAGTTATCTTAAACAGACAAAATTTATTTAACGTAAACGTCACTTTTTTGACAGTTTCGCTCTAAACTTCATTTATTAATTAATTTTTAACTCCAAACCCTTGGATATTAAATGAATAATTAAGTAACATTACTTATTTTCAAGAATTCGTTCGTAGGGATTCTATTTGTTTTAGGTTAGACCAAGGATTGATATCAATTAGAGAACCGTTGACAGCCAGGAAGGACTGGACAACTGTCTCGTCCTAGTTTGGAACTGATCGGCAGTTCGCACCCACCGCCAAGGTTAAAACCCAGAAGCTTTCATTTACAAGGCTAGGTCATATACTATCCAGCCACTGGGACTTGATTCAATGGTCAGTCCATGAATTCCGAATTCAACCAATTCGTGGGGTCTCTCAAGTCAGGAGTGAGAATGAAGTTCTCGCCAATGACATTGGTTGGTAGTCATTCTTATAATCACGAATTGGTAAAAGTTAGAGTTCACGGGTCACTGAATCGGATCCCAGTGGTTGAATGGTATACGAGCTTTTCTTGTGACGTGGAGATACTGGGTTCAAAACTCAGTGTCTGCGTACTGCCGGTGAGTCTCAAACTGGGATGTAACAGTTACCCAGTACTCTTCGGTGGTGAATGGTTCTCTAAATGATAGCAATCCGTTGTCTAATGTGGGTATTCAACTGATTAGTAGTTGACGAATGTTTCAATAAGGCAAATTACTTTCATTCAATAAAAATTTAGGTCTCTTTTAATCTAGCTCAATAAGAAGTACGTGAATGACTGGTAATACATAAGATATTTTGAAGTATTTTTGACCTTTATTTATTCGTGTCGAGTGATACTTAAAAATAGTGGAGTGACAGAAAACTCTTACAAAAGCTGAAATGCCTTTTCACGATAAACTTTATTCTCTCTAATTTTCTTCACAGTTTCTTCTGCTTAATAAACTCAGAAGTTTTTTCAGATTCAGAATAATTAATTAGAAAAATTTCAGAAAATAATAAAAGCGAAATGACTTTGAAGTCCTTTGCATTCATGCAGAGAACTTGAAAGACGCTTAGAAATCACAAACTACGTTTGTTGATGGTAAAGTAGAAAAAAATGCTTTTAATGAATCAAGTATGTTACATTTAAGTGTTACTTTAATATAAAACGCAGAACCCCATTAAGTAAACTAGTCTTCTTCAATTCACTACTGAAATGTTAATTTAATTAAGCAAGACTTTAATCATTTAGAGCTCAGAATTGAACTGGTAATAATGAACTCAATAAGAAGTACAACCCTCGTATCGTCAGAAATCGTTTCTTTTATAAGAACGCATAAGTAGAATGAAACCTTGTTTAGTGAGAGTAATAATATAAGTATTTGTGCAGAGTATATAGAAGTAATAGCAGTCAGTTTCCTTTTTAGAACAACACATTTAAGCGAACAATATTGTTTTCAATTAGATCTCCTTTTTTTACCAGAAGATAACCAGCAAACAGATAATAATAAAACTTAATTGTCTTAACAGTCTTAAGTCCACCTAGTGTTTCAGCTCATTAGAGAAATTAAGTGAGTGAAAGTAATCAGTCATCAAGAACGATAAGTGAAATAGTTACTGATGGAACTATCTAAGGTAGCTTTGAATAGGTAGAAAATAGGTGAAGTATTGCGTGATGAATGAAAGCCGCGAGATTTCTGCGGCCTAAATTTTCATTTAAGTTTAAGAACCAATCATTTGAAACACTTATCACTATTGGTGAGACATTCGGAAGGCGATAAGTAATCACCATACCTCTCTAAAGATGATATTACAATTAATTTCCAGTTAATATTACATATTACGAGTAAATCAATCATTTACAATAAATAAAATTGTGCATTCACATATTTCAATCCTCTTTTTAGCCACATGCTGGCTATTCGATTAAGTCATGCGTACATCCAACGATTGAAATGTCTTTTTCTAGTGAAAACTAAGTGCTTACGTAAATCTCCTAGTGGTCAAAATCAGTCACAGTTGAGCAGTTTAGTTCAAACTAAAATTCGATCCTGATGGAGCTTTTTAGACAAAAATGTTTTTCTGTATTTAAGACGAAGAATACTGTCATTTCACTAACTCTTTTATTCGGTAAAATGCCATTTATCAATAAAATTTTTACATCGTCGCTGCGGTGATTAATAGGCCACTTCATTAACTAGATCAAAGTTAAAATGACCCAGAAAGGAGGAATATTGATTCATCCAGGATATACAGAAATTCATTGACAGTAAATGAGGTTTTATTTGGTCACAAAATGAGATCAAAGTAAACATTAGGCATAGTTTGATTCAACCACCTCAAGTATAAAAAAAAACTACAAGCTGTTATGACCCAAAACACTATTTAATAAAGAAACAGTCTGAAACTGGAAATTAGCGATTTTGAAGGACTTAGACATCAAAATATGGTCAAGAACAGTGACACTAAAAGCGCCAGTAGGAGTTCACTATCAACATCCATTGATTCTGTGTACACACAATTGAATTTAGAATACGGCCTAACTTAATTGTACATCATATCAATGGTTTTATTTCACTTAACAAGACAAATATGCAAAACATTTAACCATATGAAAAACAAACAATTTCAAATAGCATTGGACATTTTAAGGCGTTGTATAACATCTAGACATATTAGAAATCTAATGGTAATAATAATAATAATAACTGTGAGGGGATACTGTTAGATGGAATCCAAGGTTATTTTAAATCCACTTCACTTTTGACTCCATTAATCTAAAAGCCGAATGAATTCTCACGCACGTCAGTCCTACCTACTTTTTTAACCAAAAATTGCAGAATGTGGTAAATTTAGTCACACTCTTCACATTAAACGAATACCAACAACACCAATACAAAGTTACACACTGGAATCGAGTGAAACCAAACTACTTTCGTCTAAGAAGAAACATTAAAAAAAAACGAAAATTAATCAACTGATCATCTTTCTTAGCAAGATTGTACTGTTTCGGAAGAATAATTCATAAATCGGTGACTTAAACATATAGCTACACAAAGTAGTTTGTAATAATGAAGCAACACTCATGGAGTCTAAACAATTTTAAATGTTATTTTAGTACATCTTTTCTGCTGCGGAAAGGATTTATTAATACATACCATACACTGGTTCTATTATTACTAATGCCAACATTGTTCTTTTCTTCTTAATACGAATCTATCACTCACTTAACAAATTCCTTTTGATTATGAATTCTGATTAAACTAAATAACTGTAAATCTCTAATATTAACCGAAAAATGTTAGGTAGAAAAATTGATATTGCTGACATTTAAAACAGTCTCGTCACTTCGTTATTTAATGGTGGTGGATGGTCACTGGCCGTGTCTCTATCAAATAACAAAATGTTAATCCTCAGAGATCGTCTGAGTATCCGATCTAGGAGTCAAACATATCACTACAGACCAAACATTCCGTTGAAATATAATCAATCAATGGGAAATGCAAAATGATACTAAACAAATAAGCCCTCCTGCTTATTTCTTGAAGAGCCTGTCAACGGTGAACTTAAAAGGAATCTGTTTAGAAATACCAGAATCCTCATTAAGATAAATATATTTACATATACAGGTTCTC